CCCTAAGTCAATCTCAGAGATGTGTGTTATCACCAAAGCTGGTCTGCAGAGCCCCTGACTTCCTCATCACATCCCAACAAGCGGCCACATCTGCCGGTTTCCTTTATTCAAAAGCCCCAGAAGCCAGTGCTGTCGGGCAAACATACGTTTAGCTCAAACGCTGAGATCTGAGGACGCTTCTGTCTTGTTATTCTCAGTCTTTTGCTGACGGTTGGCTGCATACCTGTTTTCTGGGGACACAAAGGCTCAGCACACAGGTCATAATCAGACCACGGCCTGGAGACAGCAGGGGCTCTGATGGCCAGGCTTGGCTTCTGCTGGTGGGGGCTGTTTTCAGAGCCTGTGTACTCACTCTAGTATTCCGACACGACATCGTGTGAACTGTACCTGACTGGAGCTGCAGCTTCCTCACCTGCACGGTGGCCCTCCACACGGCAGAACACGAGAGGTGACAGCCTAGGTGTTCAGCTGGCCTGGAGCGTGGCCCAGGGCACACAGCAAGTATTAGCTGCTGCTGCTATATTATTATTATTATTATTATTATTATTATTATTATTACTATTATTATATTATCAACATCATCTTCATGGCGGGTCCAGTTATGTGGTTGGCTCTGAGGGGACAGAGGAGGAAAAAGGAACTGTATTTCAAGTGCCATCAGTCCCCTCTTCCTGGTCACGTCTAGCTAATTAAAAAAAGGGACACTCAAGAGGTGAGCAGATGTGAAAACAAAACCCTGAGTTAGTGCTCCCTCAAGTGGCTTTTTTGGGGGGGCCCTTCTGCTCACACAGCTGCAAGAAGAGGGCCTCTGCCCAGTCACCCCATTATTCCAGGGTCCGCACCTGCAGGATAAGGCACTGAGCTCCGGGACCCTCCTGGCAGGACCCGCCAACGTCGGGGCTAGTCCGTCTAGGTTCACGGAGTCTGTCCAGTGACATCTCCTCCAACGTGATTTTCTACCTTACGCTGCCTGCAAGAAGCAAGCACTGTGCTAACACTGCAACCACCTGTAGTTTCAAGACCAATATCTTATAGCTTTCAGATGTCAAAAGTCCTGGACAGGAACTATGCACTGTTGTCTTTGGGTTCAATAAAGGATAAAGGGTATAAATAATGGCTTACACTTTGAACATTGTCACCAGTTCATTTTAAGAGGAATTTTCATCCAATTGCAGAGAACCAAAATAGCTACCTGAAATGTCTCTCTGCAGTCCAAAGAGGGCTTAGTGGGCCGGCCGAGTGGCTCAGCTGGTTAAGAGTTTGCTTAAGAGCATGAGCTCTGAGCAACAGGGTCGCTGGTTCGATTCCCACATGGGCCAGTGAGCTTCACCAGAGCTGTGCCCAAGCTGAGCTGCCGCTGAGCTGCCAACAGGTGGCAGGATGGCTCAGCTGGTGAGAGCACATGCTCCTAATGACAAGATTGCCTGTTGGATGGTGGGCTACGCCTACCCATGGCTGGGACTTAACTCGGCACCTTGAGCTGAGCTGCAGCCAGGAAGGCTCAGTAGATAGAGCATGCGCTCTTAACAGCAAGGTTGCCGGTTTGACTCCCGCATGAAAAAAAAAGGGGGGGGCTTAGTCACAAGAAATCTATGTCGATTTCATTTAAAGCAATCACAATCCATAAAGCAGCATACCAGAGATTTTGATGACACAGACCAAAGAGTCAGGTACAGGCCTTGTGAAATGTCTGAATCGATCATATCATGTGATAAACCCTCACTTTTTTATGTTGCACACAAAACAGTTAATTAAGCAGATCATCTTGTCATAACATTACCAATGACATCCTTAAAATCATTTTATGGTTTCTCTAAAGGTACAGAAACCGAATCAACTTGGTATGTCCTCAGTTCAGAAAGCAAAGCCGAGTGATTATGAAAGGGGGAAAGGAGCCTTTTCTGATTGTCACGTAAGCAAAACAAATCCTAAAAAGAAACGCCAGCAGATGGAGAAATGGAACTAGAATGCAATGATTTTTTCTTTTAACGTAATTTCTGGTTAGGTAGCAGTCCTGGTTCTCTTTGACTACCTAATCAGGTATTTTGAGGGCTTCCCCAAAGCCTATTACCTTTAACTACAGTATATGTGCGATGAGCAATCTGTAGGTAAGGAATTCATAACGTAGGAGACGCACGATAACGCTCAGGCTCCCGAAACGTGTGAGAACCCCTTGGTGCACAGAATCCTGAAACATTAATGACTCTTCATTGTTCCTATTCTTACACTGCATTTCAAATAGTCTACGTGTGCCCTGCGTTACTTACTCTCTTACGGATGCTGGAAGTCACCATGGAAAACGCAAAAAAAACTGAACTGGTATTTGAATAGCTTGCTGAGGTCTCACCTTCACTTCTGATATTTTATGCACTAGAATTTAGAATAGGTGATATAACACAACATGCTAGGTGGTGGGCCCTTAGTTCAATTAGGTAAGGTTTTGAAATTAATAAATAAAAATGTTGATAATTACTTTCAGCACTGAAGTCTCTATAACTTGTAAGCTGTGTGCAAGACTCAATTCTGATTATGAAGAAAAGAAATATATACACAAGGACCTGACTATTTTAATAGAAGTACATGGGCGCAAATAGAATTATCATTCATAGCATCAACGTAAATATGGAAAACACTTTATGAACACGTATCTTTTTAAAAAAAAACTTCCTTATTTCTAACTTGAGGTCTTTGTTGTCCTGTACCTTTCAAAGTGCAGGCTGTGGTCACTAGGACCTCTTCCAAGTCTAATATGTTAAGATTCTGTGATTCTAAGGCAGAATGACATTCCTCATCCCCTGATCCCCAAAGTCATCTTCACTGTAAGACACTGTTCCAGAGATTTCTGAGTGGCAATGATTTCAGAAACAGATAACAAAGGCATTTCTGCAAAACATTCTGCCACATCATTTGTAGAAATCCTGTTCAAAAAATAAACTAAAGAGACCCTTTTGCACCCCGTGGCTTGTGTGGAGTCAGTCATCTCACACCTGAGCCAGCATGGAACTAAAAGACACAGAATGAAGCTCGGATGTTAAGGCGTTGAACCTTGCTCAGTTAAAGATGTCTTTCTGGACCTGCCACATCCATCCTATTTCCAACTCAAGAAATCAGTGGATCTAAACCCCAGGAAAGGCAGACCAGCAGGATGGTTACTTGGTAACAACAGGCCTCGGTCAAGAACTAAGGACCCTTCTCCACTGGAGTGAGGATGCTCTTGGCGTGGTATCCCAGGAGCTCTAGCTCTAGTGAAATTGGCACAACGAGTATTATTTGATTAGTGTGAAAGATTCTGCAGGGAAAGGCACAGAGGCAGGTGACGGGACTGGTCGCTTCTGACATGCCAGCTGTAGAAAGATCAAATTGAGGTCATTCGGGGTCTTCTAAACAAAACAATCATTCTTCATAAATCTAAAAGACACCCATATATCATTTTATTAAGTAATGTTTAATATTGATTTGGGGAAACATCAGCTGACTTGAACATGGTCAAGAGCACACACCGTGGGAAGATGATGCCCCTGTCTGCAGTGACGGGGGTGTTTGGGGGGGTGAGGATGGGGTGGCAGGGGAACATACTTCAGAAGATTCATTCATTCTCTGCTCTCAAGTCCTCTGGGTTTCTTTTCAGTAAAGCTGCCATCTGGTGCAGTAGGCGAGGAGGCTCAAACCCACCCGGTATTTCAGTGTTTACTGAACAGTCTTTAGCCCTGATAAAGGATTCAACCCCTGGGGGCACAGGAGACCAAAGGAAGACATGGGTCTGAGACCAGCCCCAGAGGTGAAGGCCCTGGAAGGGGCAGGTGCCAGGCATTTCCTTGACAGAGTCTGGCCTTGTCACTTAAGGAACCAGTCACAACACACCTCTGCCTCTCCAGTGAAATCTCTCAAGAGTGAAATTCTCACCTTCGCACTAGATGCTAGATGCTCTCAGGAAAAGCAAGCAGAGCCACGAGGGAGCAGATTCAGCAGCGGGCTGCTGGCTCTCTGCAGAGCACCCCACCTACAGAGCACCCCACCTGCAGAGCACCCCAGCTGAGATGTTGGGGAGGAAACCTGTGGGCGGGGGAGGTTATATACCAGGTTGGACATTTGGATCCTGAGGCAGACATAAAGTTCCACCTTCACGGAGTTTATGGGGACAAACGATGGGGAGCAGCAGATGGGGGGAATGGGAGAGGGAGGGGAGGAGGAGTGGGGGAGACTGGGGGAAAGGACGAAAGGGAGACGGGAAATGGTGGAGAGCTGGCAAGCGAGGCCTTAGATGGGGAGTGGAGAAGGGGGTGAAGGACAGAGGGTAGCGGAGCAGAGCTGCGGGCGACAGGGGAGGGGACGGGGAACAGGAGATAGGAGGAGGAGAGGGCGAGGAGGGTGCAGAGGGGGAGAGTGAGGAAGGGGAAGGCAGGGCAGAGCGAATTCTGGAGACAAGGAGAGCGTGAGCAGGCGAGACCAGCGGGGACGGGGCAGGGGACTGGGAGAGACGACACGGGACAGCGGGCGAGGGAGAGAATGCTCTGGAAAGAAGCGGCGGCGCCGGAGCGTCTCCCGGTGGGAGGCCGGTCTGCCCGAAGGGAGACGGCGGGAGGGACGCGCCCCGGCCCCTCCCCGCTTACCTGGCCCTTGACCAGGCTGGCGGCGAACTGGCGCATGACGGCCTCCACCGTGTAGGCGCTGGACCAGCCGCGCGGCGTGAGCAGCTCCATGCAGATGGCGCCGCCGTCCAGCACGTAGCCGTTCTCCAGGCGCGGGCTGAGCACCCGCATGAAGGGCGGCGAGAAGGGGAAGTTGTCGGGGAAGGTGAGGTTGAGCAGGATGAACTCCGTGTTGGTCTCCTTCATGTCCTGCCACAGCACCGAGTCCTTGTCCACCTGGTGCAGCTTCACGTTCCAGTCGAAGAGGCTGTCGTCCACCAGCTCCACGGAGATGAAGCGGTCGCTGAGCCGCGCGATGTCCTGCAGCTCCTTCATGAGCCGCCGGCTGCGCACCTGCGCGCAGTGCTGCTGGCGCGCCGCGGGCACCAGGCTGCCGCCCGCCGCCCCCGCCGGGCCGGGCNCTGGAAACGATGAGCAATCCAGGTGGCTTTTCCAACCCTGGCTGCCCGGTAGAGTCACATAGGAGCTCTTCCGCCAAGCCTCTACCAGGAAGCCAGATTCTCCAAGGATAGGGCCCTGGCGCCGGGATAATTTAAACACCCCCAGGGCCTCTAACTGATGGCCTTGGCAGAGAACCTCTGGCAGAGAGGAAAGGACTTCCACCTGTCACCATCCTCCTGCCTCCACGTGACCTTATCAACACAGCAAAAAACTAGGAGTCAGGAGACTTGAAACGTGGCTCAAAGAACCCACTATCAGTGGCTTCTTTTGTTTGTTTGTTTGAGTAAAATTAGCCATCCCCAGAGTGGTACCCGAGGCTGCCTGACTTCTAAACCTGATCCTGGGGGTGAGAAAGGGCTCGCTGGGTGCGGGTCTGACTTTACAACCAACTTCAACTTATTGTCCACGTTGGCACTTTCCATTAACAAAAAACAAACAACTGCCCCCAAAACTATGTTGTCCCTCAAAAAGAAAAACAAACCTTCTCACATCGCTCATGTAAACCAGAAAAGCAAACAGAAACGCATTTACACGTTCTTCTTGCAAGTTTAGACTCTCAAAAGTCGACAACTGAGGGCAATGCAAGTCACTACTATTATTAACTGTCCCATCAGCCCCGGTGGAAGCACAGTGCCAGGGAGCTGAGCTGTGGGGCCGCCCAGTTGGCGTGGGGCTATTTTTAGGAGGCAAAGTCCTGCCTGTGTCCTCCTGCCTGCCCTACTTGACAGCAGAACAAGCTATTTTTTTTCTCTGAACAGTCGAGCACCTGGGTGCCTCAAGCTGCAGAGTCATCCTGGTGGGCAACTCTCTCCGTCACCTACACGTTCACGTTCCTTTGCAAAGCAGCCTGCCTCTAGAGAAACGAGAGGTTGAACTGGTTAAGGGATTCCTCTTTGGGCTTGTTATGCATGGCACTGTGTCCCTACAAAATCCATGTTGGAGTCCTACCCCCAGCACCTCGGGATGCGACGACATCAACCTACGCTGAGATCACTAGGGTAGGCCCTAACCCAGGATGACCAGGCCCTTATGAGAAGAGATTGGGACACAGACATGAAGAGAAGGAAGACTGAAGACACAGGGAGAAGATGCCGTCCACACGCCACGCTCAGAGGGCCAGGGAAGGCCCTCCCTCAGCCTCAGAAGGAACCTACCCTGTCGCTACCCGGATATCAGACTTCCGACCTCCAGAGCTGGGAGGTGACAAATGTCTGTTGTTGGAGCCCCCAGTCTGTGGCACTTCATTACAGCAGCCCTAGCACACTAATACAGCCGGGGTTTAAACACGTGCAATTATTACAGGTTAGGAGCCCAAAGCGCCGTTCATCCTCACCAGATTTTCTGCCAAGACCTGGAGTTCCACAGCCATAAGTCAAGTGCTGTTTGTAGGCCTTGCACCTTGGAACAAGTTCTGAAGACGGCTGAGGGGTGTGTGTGTGTGT